CAGCGCTTTTAGAAACACATCCAGTCCTGATTTCAAAATTCTCAGGGATGGAGACGCCACCATGACCCTTGGTGAATTCTTCCAGTGGGTAATTACTCTCACCATGAAAAATGGACGCCTTGTTGCCAGTCTGAATTTTCCTAGCTTCAACTTCCAGCCATTGGATCGTGTTAGACCTTCCTCTGCTAGGTCTGGGGGCCTGTCTTAGGGCCCAGTCCTTCAAGGTGCTGAGCTCAGTGGGAACGGAGGGTACTCCACCTCCCTTAGGATGAGGGAGAGCCAGCCGTGCAATGTCATAGGTCCATGGGTGGACAGATGGCTCCACAGACCCTTGGGTGGAAAGACAGATCTATAGACAGTTCCATGCATGACTCTATCGAGGTCTCCGTGGGATAGAGAGTAACGGAGACGTGGGTGGAAGGACAGAGAGATGTCGTTTCAATAGGATTAGTCGGCATTTGTTTGTAACTCCATCCCTGTTACCCCTCCCCCTTCCCGCAGGCTCCCCCGTCCCCCCGCAGCGTCACATAAATCTATGGGTCTGGGTCTGTCATTTCCTTTGCAGACGATCACGGACGCCAGCCCCATGAAGCGCTCTGCCTCCATGCTGGGCCACTCGCGCGCCAAAGGCATCCGGCTGGACGACTACTCCTTGGAGAGGGTCGTCCCCGAGGAGAACCAGCGGCACCACCAGCGGCGGAGGGAGCGGAGCCACCGGGCCTCGGAGCGCTCGCTCAGCCGCTACGCGGACGTGGACACAGGTGGCACGGCTGTTGGGGGGGATGCGCGGTCTGTAGGCTGTGTTGGACCCGCTCTGCTCTTGCCAGGGTGGGAGTCAGACTAGCCCAAGCGCGTGAGCTGGTGCCCTCGAGTGGCCGTGGGCTGCAGAAGCAAAGTCCATGGAGTTACCCAGTGCAGACTGGGTGCGAGTGAGATCAGGAGCCAGATCCTCAGCTGGTGCTGCTGAGAAGGGAAAATCTCCATTTCCCGACACACACACACCCCCCAAGCCAGCCAGTCCTGCCCTATACCCTATTCGCAGCTGCCCTGAGCCAACCAGCCTGGGCTGGCACCCCCTGGAGGGCTTAGGGGAGGCTGGCTGGGAGCTCACTGGCTGGTTGAGAGGCCCAGTTCATTGAAGCACATGGAGACCCTTGGATAGAGAAGGGCTGGCTCATTGGGATAACTATATGGGTTCTTGTTTCTGGCCCGACCAGCACTAGGGAGCAGCCAGAGGTGAAGTAAGCCGGTACGCCCCGGTACCGCATACTGGCAAGCGCTGGTTTGCCGTACCGGGGTGGCTCGGCTTCCCCAAGGGGCAATTTAAAGGGCCTGGGGCTCCCAGCAGGGGCTGGAGCCCCAGGCCCTTTAAATTGCCACCAGAGCCCCACTGCTGGAGCCCTGGGGTAGGGCTGTGGGGCTCTGGGGGCTATTTAAAAAGTCCGGGGCTCCCGCTGCTTCTACCGCCCTGGCCCTTTAAATAGCCGCCGGAGCCCCGCTACCACTACTCCAGGGCTCCAGCGGCTATTTAAAGGGCCAGGGCTCCAGCTGCCTCTGCCGCCCTGGTCCTTTAAATAGCCGCGGGAGCCCCGCCGCTTCCCCAGGGCTCTGGTGGCTATTTACAGAGCCGGAGCGGTAGAAGCAGGGGACCCCCGGGCCCTTTAAATAGCCGCCGGAGCCCCGGGCTGCTGCTGCTACCCCGGTGGGGGGAGGGGGGGGCACTTACCTTACAGGGTGGGCTGGGCCTGGCTCTGACTCCCTCGGCCACGCCCCTTCCAGGGGCCAGAGCTGGCCCCAGCGTACCGGTAAGTCACTGGACTTACTTTCACCCCTGGGAGCGGCAGAAATCTCCCATTCCTGATGGGTTCAGCGCACGCAAGTGCTTCCGCTGCCTTCTGAATAGTCATCCAGGTCCCAGGGGCTTGTCTACACCTAAAACACTGCTGTGTGCTGCCCCCTCCTGTTAACTGCCTGTCCTACTGCGCCCCCGCCCTCCCGCCCCTTTCAGCGGGAAAGTTCCAAACCTTTTGTGCAGTCGCTTTACTGGGGTCAGAGTCTGTGATCTCTGTTACACTGGTGTAAATCCAGAGTAAATACCAGTGAAATCAGATTTTGTTTACATGGGCTGATTCTCCTCTCACTTACACCAGTTATACACCAGGGTCAGCCCATTGACCGCCCTGGAGTCACTTCTGATTTCCAGCCGTATGAGTGAGCCCTAGGTACTGAGCTATCATAGCATTGAGCATGGTGTGAATGTCCAGGTAGTAACAGGCCACCGGACTCTAGTGCCATTGCACGCCACGTGCCATGGGACTGTTGTGTTTCCTGTCCACAGATGCTAATTGGGTTGATGGCAAATGGTTTCCAGGCGCGTAATAATCTCTGCCTCCCCCCACGGCAGGGCTGGGCACGGACCTGAGCATGACCACGCCATCGGGCGACCTACCTCCCAAAGAAAGAGACCAGGAGCGAGGACGACCCAAGGACCGGAAGCATCACCACCATCACCACCATCACCGCCATCACCACCCCTCCTCCGACAAGGAGCGCTACTCGCAGGAGAGACATGAGCACAGCCGGCCCCGCTCCAGAGACAGGCGCTGGTCCAGATCCCCCAGCGAGGGCCGTGAGCACATGCCCCACAGGCAGGTGGGTCTGGCTTTCCACTCCCCGCTTCACCGTTAGGGATGGGCACAGGGGTGGGGAGTGGGGGCGAAGCAGAGCCAGCCCGCAGCTCCCTGCTCCTCGGGGAGCGAGTTCCAGCTGTCCAGCAGGCTGAGCAGAACGGGTTGGAGGCCCGAACCGACCCAGACATCCGTCGCAGGTGCTGATCTGGAGCTTGGGGCAGATCCAGCGAGGGCTCGTGATCTGGGAGCCAGAGTGGAGGAGCTGCTCTGTCTCACTTGCTTAGCAAGACCCCTGGCTGTTCTTGGCCTGTGGATCTAAAAGCCCAAACCTCCCAGGCAGCCACAGACTCGTAGGGCCTAATTCTCAGCTACACCAATGCTCCTTCACACTAGCCACTAGAGGGGGACAATGAGCCACAATTAGCCACACCCTCTGGATGGGGAAGCTCCACCCACACCTCAAAGGGCTGCGCAGATTCAGTTTCCCTGCACAGGCCACCACTTTGTAACCCCGCCTGTGGCAGGGCCGTCAGGGGGGATCAGACCAGTGGCTTCTTCATCTAGAAAGCCGGAGTAAAGGACCAGAGACTGCGGTGGGTGATGTGGCCACTAGAGGGGGACAAAGAGTCGGGGAAGTTATGGGTCTGTCCTGTGGATGGGGGCATCATCGTAAGCGTTTATTGGGGGAACAGGGGCCCAGCCAGACACTGCATCCCCTTGTCCCTGACCAGAGGGGAACCCCACAATATCAGCCCCACTGAAACAGACTGAGTGACTCCCAGATCCAGAGCGCCAGAGGAAGGCCTGGCCCAGAAGGGCTTTCCCCCTTATTCGCCCCCAGCAGCTGATCGACCCAAAGACCCCGCACCTGCTTCTTTAGAGCCAGAAACAAACACTGGTGCTGCCCACCCGCTGCCCCGGGGAGTTCCTGAGGCTGGGGTGAGATGGACAGGAGCGCCAGGGATCCAAGGAAGGAAGGGAGCTCCATGTGCCATTGGAGCAGTGTGGGAAATGGGGAAAGGGCCCAGGGGATGCTGGGAGGATCAGAGCCAGTGTAAGCTCCACTCCTGTCCACACACACACCCCCACTTCCCAAAGGAAGGCGGGGGGACTGCAGGAAGTGGAAAAGCCCCAGTTTTCAGATTTAGGGGCCGGCACTGGGGCCCTCCGCGCTGTCGGGGCAGTTCAGCCACCAGAGGGCGCTCTGAAAAACGCGGGCAATAACCGAGGGTAAAACCATGGGCTGCTCGTCGCAGCTCTGGGCAGGAGTCACAGCTGTGGATTTAAAGGGACCATCAGGTGAAACCGCCAAGGGCCGGAAGTCAGTGGGCCCCATTCTGAGCTCACGTACACACCAGGGTAAATCCACTGAAGTGGGTGGAGTGACTCCAGATTTACACTGGCATAGCCAAGAGCAAACTCTAGCCTCCCACGGCCTCACGCTCGTGCACCATGGGTGTGAAACGCTGTGAGCCGAGCGGGGGGCATTTTCCCTTCCCCTCACCCTCGCTGGAATACCGACATGAGGATCAGAACTGGGCCCCGGTCGTTTACATCAGTCTAACCACACCCCCTCGCCTGACTGACACCGGGGTGAGCGAGAGGGGGATGGGTGAATGGGACGATGTAGAGGCTGCTCAGGGTGGGGGGGGGCTTGATGAGGGGATGCCCTGTCACTCAGACGATGACGAGCGCTTTGAACTCTCTTCAAGCCCTTTATTTCGGTTATTCTCACCACTCACCCACCCCCACCCCCCAAGCCGTTGGTCTTCCCCGCTTGTTTCTCGGGAGCGCCATGCGACGGGTCTTGAGTCACATCTTTATTTCTGTGTCCGTTGTGTTTGGCTCCGCTGTCACGGCAAGGGGCAGGCGCAGGTAAGATGGTTGGTGAGCAGAGACCCAAAAACCGAACCGGGGGCGCCCCCGCCCGCCATCCAGTGTCTGTGGTGTGCGCCCTTTGTTGTTAACGCTGGTGGCCACTGACGCCTCTGGGTTTCCTGACTCTGGAAAGTTTGGAATGAAGCTGCTCCTAAACCGGGCCCACACGCATGGCACACGCACACAGAGCTATGGGCACACGCCTGGCGCACGCACACAGAGCTACGGGCACACGCCTGGCACACGCACACCGAGATACATGCACAAGCCTGGCACATGCACACAGAGCTACGGGCACACGCCTGGCACACGCACACTGAGATACATGCACACACCTGGCACATGCACACAGAGCTATGGGCACACGCCTGGCGCACACACATGGAGCTACGGGCACATGCCTGGTACACACAGAGTTATGGACACAGACCTCACACACACAGAGATACAGGATTGGAACACACATGGCACATGCATAAATATGGGCACCTGTGTGGCACATGCACAGAGCGACAGGCACACACAGGATACATGCTCACGGTCACAGGCACACACCTGACACGCCCTGAGATATGTGCACACAGGTAGCGCACCTGCACCAACACGCATGGCATATATGTACAGCTGGGCACATGCATAGCACATGCAGACATGGATATGGGCACATGTGTGGCACACATCCATCCCCAAAGATACGGGTGCACTCAGGGCACACACATGCAGCCGCATAGCCATGCGGGACACATACATGGCAGACACATAGTTATGGGAACATACATGGCACGTGTAAGTGCGGGTGGATACCCAGCACACAGACAATTCGGACCCATCACATTCTCTGTCTATTCCCCACGCCCCTGTGACAGCACTTAGCACCAGTGGGGCTGCCGTGGGCTGAGGAGAATCAGACCCCAGGCGCCTTGATGGATCAAGGCATCCGGCCTGCTTCTCTTTTCCGATCCACGGCACTTGTATAGAGGCATCTGACTGTAGGGGCTAGCCAGAGGGAGCCTGTTACAGCACTTCCCCGGGGGCTAGCCTGCGTATGAACCATTGTCCCCTACTGGATGATTGGAGCAGCTGAGCTGTGTGTCACAGCCCCTATACTACTGAGGGGGAGTCTCCTTTAGGAGCCTGGCTTTTGGAGCAGGAGGGCCCATGCTCTGCCCTCCCTAGAGCTGAGAAATCTGGAACAACCTCAGAGGAAATCCTGGATCTGCTCCCACTGCAGCACAGCCCCCTTTCCCCCCAGCCTCTGATTGCTCAGAGCTGCCTGTCTCTGTTCACACACGGAACATCACAAAGGAGCTTCACCACCATAGCTTAAGACCGCTCTCCTGGGTCAACGCCTGCTGACCTGATGTAGCATTTCCAGGTAACCTCTCGTTCCAAGCAGAGTGGAGGCCGTGGGGTTCGGGCTAAGTCGCTGTTTTCCTCCCCCATCCTCTTGGTTTGGGGATCCTCTCCAGAGAAATCCTGCTGGAAGCTGTTTCCATCTGTCCAAGGTGCCCTGGCAGATCTGGTGCCCATTGATGTGGGGCTCGTGGGACGTCAGGCACCATATGAGCCCCTGCCAGGTGGATTCCGATAGGTGTAAACCCAGACTGATTTCAGCGGAGTGAGATGGGTCTGAGTCCGCCCTGGTCACACTGAGAATGGACCTGGTCCTGAGGAGGTCAGTGTGAAGCAGACAGAGGTTCTAGTCCTCCTACCCGCTTCCTAGGATGAGAACCAGCCAGGGATCAAATCTTTGAAGAACCAGAGCAGCCCAGAAGTCACATTTTGCCAGCGCTGGAGGGACCATGAACCTCCACAGTCTGGCAAGCTTGGATCTAAACCTAGAGCCTGTGGTTGTCCTGTGGTTCTCCGACTTTGGTGACCACAGCTAGACCTGGGACAACCAACCCAGGGCTTCCCACGTGTTTGCTCCCCATCGCTTTGGCCACGACATCTGCGCAAGTCAGGCTCTTGGGTCCAATCCACTGTTGCAGACAAGCTAATTCTTCCCCCAGCTGAGCTGGATTTCCAGGCTGTTTCTTCTGCTCTTCACACTTCCCCCCGATACACTCGAGGGCAAGGCCCATCAGGCACAGGCCCCCTCCTCCTCTCTCCAGTGCGGACGAGGGCAGCCCATTCCTTAACCAGGATGGAGCTTGCCCCACTGGTCGGAGACAGTTGGAGGGACATGAACTGGATTTGAGCAGGAGACGACTCACCCCGAGCAAGACTGTGGTGGCCTGAGCGGAGCCTTTAAGAGGGCACCAGTGGCTCATCCACCGGACTGTCCTTCTCTCTCGCCTTCTAGAGGGCGTCAGAGAGGCCCGAGCATCAGCAGCGTGGAGGGTCCAGATTCCCAACTTCCCCAAAGGCTGGCAGGATCCGCCCGTGCGAGAGCAGGGGAGGATCTGTGTGGGAAGCACGAAGGGTGGAGAAATTCAGGGCAACTCGGCAGCTGCCCCTTTGACCTTTCTGCTCCTCTGTTGCTCAGCCAACCCTCCACCCCCCCTTTGCCTTGCAGCAGCCAATTGAGCCAGGCCAGTGGGGCAAGAATAGATAATAACAACCTCCACGCTGAGGCCATATCGATACGTACAGTGGTGCAGCTGTGTGCGGGGAGCTGTGTCGGTGCAGCACATCTGGTGCCGACGCTCTGTGCCGACAGGAGAGAGCATAAACCCACCTCGACAAGCGGCAGAAACGCCCCCCTGCCGACAGAGCGCTGTGCACACAAGTGGGGGTGGAATAGGCTGTAGCGTAGACATAGCTTCAGATTCCAGAGGGTGAAGGGGGTATAAAAGATAAAGGCCCTTCTGCTTCAGGGCGTGAGCCAATCACCGACTGACTGACGGGGCCAGCAAAGGATGTCCTCCTGGGGCAGGTTATTCCATTGTCTACTGGCAGGATTACAAAGAGCCGCGCTCCGATTCTGGGTAAGTCACCTCGCTTTCCTGGGGGAAGGAACCCCATCCGTGGACGCTTCCACCCACCAGAGCAGACACCCGCAGTCAAGCAGCTCTCACTAGCGAAGCCCCGAGGCTCACACTGCCTCTCCCAAGGAGGTCAGCTCTGTTCCAAACTTATCCAGACCCAGTGCTCCCCCCTCATCTTTCCTTGCTGGACCCCCCCCCTCTCCCCCCGGTTTCCCCCCCCCCCCGCCCCCCCCCCCCCCGTTTGTTTTTTTTTTCAACTCCAGCTGTTTATTTTCTTTTGAGTTCCTTTTGGTAACACACAATATACCTCATGCTCTGCAGGCCCTGCTGGTTTTCTCTCTTGCTTGCTTGCTGGCTGGCTTTTAACCCTTTCCTCTCTTTCTTTCGAAGTGGGAGTAATTTTTAGAAGTTTTCTGCTACTTTTTAAAAACCCCAAAACTTACAAAAACTCCATTTCTCATTTCTCTTCTCGCTTTTTTCCCCCCTTCTTTCGTTTGGTTTCTCTTTTGGTTTCTTTTCTTCTCCTCCGTTGGTCTCTCGATCCCCCTCTTCCCGTCCTCCCTTCTGTGGCTGTTGCTTTTTCTTCTCCCCCTCCATTATTCCCCCCCTTCTTTGGTTCCTTCACCCTCAAATCCCCTGCCTTCTTTTCTTGTCCTCGTCTCTGTGTCACCTTCCCTGCCCCTCCCAACCCCCCTTCCCTTTCTGTCTCTTCTTGGTTAATTTTCCTTGTATATTTTCTTTTTGATTTCCTTTGTTTCAATTTTCGTGTAGGGTAGTAGTTCCGTAAGTGGCAGTCCAGTCCTTTCAACGTCCGGCACCAGTACCCCAAGGCGAGGACGCCGCCAGCTCCCACAGACCCCTTCTACACCCCGGCCACACGTGTCCTATTCCCCTGTGGTCCGTAAGGTCATCAGTACAGGCCCCCAGCAGCAGCCGCATCACCCCAGCAGGATATCCACCCCCGCGCCGAGACGATACCCCTCGCTCCCTGCCGACCCCCAGGCGGCGGAGTGGCCCGGCAGATCGCCCGCCATAGAGAGACACACGGTCCCACCACGGAACGATTCGCCCCGAGCCTACCGCCACGCCAGCAGCCGGTGGTCGGCGCCCCACGTCTCCGAGCCGCACCCGGGACCCCGTCGTGGCGGTTATTACCGGAGTCCGGACTGCACCGCGCCCCCCAGCGAGGACGCCTTCTCCTACGAGACCACACACATCAGCAGCTCAGGGCGTTCGCCCAGGACTTCCCGGGCGGGTGGCGGCTCTTCACCCTCCAGGCCTGGGCGGCGACTTCCTAACGGATATTACCACTCCCATGGAGCAGCCAAGCCACGCTCGCGCCAAGGACTGCATGAACCCTCTAGCGAAACTGACGAAGATGACTGCTGCTAACCTGGAAGCGGTTTGACACACTCATGCACACTCGCAACACACACACACTGGACAGAGATGACATTATCAGATGCGGGGGGGGGGAGGCAAAGCACACGGAAATCACAACAATCTGCCCTATGGGGAGGTGTCTGGAGAGAGAGTGCTCAAATTGCAGAGGGAAGTAACTTCGGTTGGAGGGGTTTTCTCGGGGTGGGGTGGGGGAGAGGGTTTTGGGGTGGGGGAGGATGAGGGGATCTAGGGACCAGAGCATGTTTATCTTTTACAGATCAAGTTGTGTGTGGTGGTTCGGGGGTGGGGGGTGTGGGGGGGAAAAAACCAACCAGTTCTTCAGAATCTAAAGAAGATTTAAAAATAAACCGGGGGAAGAGACTACAATCCATGCAAGATGCCCTCAGGTAGCCTCTCCCACATGCAGCATCTGTCTGTGGCCTTGAGACAGAAGACGGGTTTTCCTCCGGTGCTTGGCGGGGGGGGGGGGGGGGGGGGGGAAGTGCTTGGATGTGACCCTCCACCCTCAACAAAGAAGTTTTAACAAAAATTCCACACCAGAAACAACAACAGCAACAAATCTCGACAAAAAAAAAATCAGTAAAAAGGAGGGGGGAAAAAGACAGAAGTATTTTTTTCTGAACTTCTATTGATGAGTTTTATCATCTCGACTTACCTGGTTAACTTCAAAACAAGTAAAGTTTGTGGCCTGCCATTTTGAAGGACACGCACGTGCACAACCCCGACACACACACACACACACACACACACAAAGGAGTGCTTGCTGGTTATACCAAACCCTAATTATTACTGCCTGCAGAGATAAATAAACAGAAAACCCCCCCACACACAAAAAAGAGAAATAAATAAATAAAAATAAACAGAAAGAAAAAAGACAAAAATAATAATTGGGGTGGGGGGAGCATTTTTCTTCCAACATTTTGGTCCTGCTTGAAACTAACAAAACAAAAAAACCGAAAACATGTCAAAAGACAAAAAAAGTCCTTTGCTTCGTTTCCTTTTTCCTACTTTGTTTGAGAAAAAAAATTAAAAGGAAAAAAACCCCTGTGGGATTGGGACTGTGAAATATTGCATGAGAAAACTAAAAAAAAAAAAGTTAAAAGAAACAAATGAGAAAAAAACACACACAAAAACCCGAAAAAAAATTAAAAAAAGGAATTTTTGATTGAAATGTTCTTAGTTCTTGGTGTGAAATGCTCTGAGAGTTTGCTCTTTCCCTAGAAAATTCAGTGAAACAGCTCTTCCTCCCCCCGGCTGAAGGGTCCGACTGTGGGGGTGTCGCCTCCAGATTGTTCAGCCACATCTCAGCGTTCAATCTAACAAAAAGGCGCTAGCTGTTGTAGTGAAGAAAATCTATAAAATCTGACCCCTAGTGTGAGACTGAGTCTGCTGAGAGCCTGAACCAATGGCTCAGAGCTGGGAACTGGCCTGCTTATTTCCTAGGTGGTTGACTCCGATACCAACAATGATACTGGAAATGTCAGTAGCGTTAACTCTTTCGCTGCCCATCAAATCCCTGAGTAAAGTTGCAGGAGAATCACGCTGGGACAATCGACACAATATCTTCTTATTGGTATTGCAGGAGCCCAGTGGCCTGGGTGCTGTCCATGATTGGGTAGGTGTATTATGGTAGCACCTAGGAGCCCCAGTCATGGCCCAGAATGCCAGTGTGCTTGGAGCTGTACAAACAGAACAAACAGTTCCTGGTTCCAGTCTTATCTAAGCTACTGTCACCTGCCTTGTGTGGCTTCTGGTTTGGGCGAGGCCTTCAGTGGTACCGTTGGGTTCCCCTTGCCGCATGCGGGGCTCGGCATCCTAAGGTTTGGGAACAGCTGTATAAAGGACAACAGGAACGTTGTGCACAACGATGCTGTGAACTGAGCCCCCAAGGCCGGGCTTCTTACTGCACAGCAATAGCAAGGTGGACAGAAGCTTTTCAAGTACAACTAGCAGATGAGAGTCCTTGGCCTGGGTCCTCCTTTGGTTACTAACTAACCATCCATCCATCCCTCCCTCCACCTCCATGGGGAGCTATCCACCCATCTCTATCTATCCATCACCTACAGATCAATCCACCCATCTCGATCTATCCATCCCTACAGATCTATCCATCCCTCTATATAAATCCATCCCCTACAGATCAATCCACCCATCTCTATCCATCCCCTACAGATCTATCCACCCATCTCTATCTATGCTTCCCCTACAGATCTCTGCACCCATTTCTATCTATCCATCCCCATACAGATCTATCCACCCATCTCTGTCTATCCATCCCCTACAGATCTATCCACCCATCTCTATCTATCCATCACAACACAGATCTATCCATCCATCTCTGTCTATCCATCCCCTACAGATCCCTCTGCCCATGTCTGTCTGTCCATCCCCTACAAATCTATCCACCCATTTCTATCTATCCATCCCCATACAGAACTATCCACCCATATCGATCTCTTCAGCCCCTAAAGCTCTGTCAACCCATCTCTATCTATCCATCCCCTACAGATCTCTCCACCCATCTCCATACATCCATCCCCTTCAGTTCTATCCACCCATCTCTATCCATCCCCATACAGATCTAGCCACACATCACCATTTATCCATCCCCATACAGGTCTCTCCAGCTATCACTATCTATCCATCCCCTACAGATCTCTCCACCCATCTCCATTAATCCCCTACAGATCTCTCCACCCATCTGTATCTATCCATCCCCTACAGATCTATCCACCCATCTCTGTCTATCCATCCCCTACACAGCACTCCACCCATCTCCATCTATCCATCCCTTACAGATCTCTCCACCAATATGCATATATCCATTCCCTACAAATCTATTCATCCATCTTCATCTATCTATCCCCATATTGACCTCTCCAACCATCTCAATCTATACATCCCCATACAGATCTCCTCAATCATCTCTATCTATCCATCCCCTACATATGCCTCCACCCATTTATATCTATTCATTCCCTACAGATCTCTCCAACCATCTCCATCTATCCAAACCCTACAGATCTATCCACCCATCTCTATCTTTCCATACCCTGCAGATCTCTCCACCCATCTCCATCTATCCATCCCCTACAGATCTCTCCACCCACCTCTGTCTACCCATCACAATACAGATCTATCCACTCATCTCTATCTATAAATCCCCTACAGACCTCTTCAGCCATCTCCATCTATACATACCCATACAGATCTATCTACCCATTTCTATCTATCTATTGCCTGACGATCGCTCCTCCAATCTCCATGTATCCATCCCCATACAGATCTATCCAAACATCTCTATCTATCCATCCCCTACAGATCTCTCCAACCATCTCCATCTACCCATCCCCTACAGATCTCATGACCCATCTCTATCTGTCCATCCCCTATAGATCTATCGACCCATCTCCATACATCCATTCCCTTCAGCTCTATCCACCCATCTCTATCTATCCATCCCCTACAGATCGCTTCACCCCTCTCCATCTATCCATCTCCTGAGGATCTCTCCTCCCATCTCCATGTATCCATCCCCATACAGACCTCTCCAACCATCTCTATTAATCCTCTACTGATCTCACCATAAATCTCCATCCATCCATCCCCATACTGATCCCTCCAACCATCTCTATCTATTGATCCCTACAGATCTCTCCCTCCATCTCTATATATTCATCCCCTACAGATCTATCCACCCATATCTATCTATGCATCACCTACAGATCTCTCCACCCATCTCCATCCATCCATCCCCTACAGATCTATCCACCAATCTCTATCTATCCATTTCCTACATATCTGTTCACCCATCTTCAACCATCCATCCCTATTGAGATCTATCTACCCATCTCCATCTATCCATTCCCTGCAGATCTATCCACCGATCTCTATCTATTCATCCCCTACAGAGCTCCCCTTCCATCTCTGTCTATTCATCCCCTATAGATCTATCCACTCATCTCCATCTATCCATCCCCATAGAGATCTATCCAACAATATCTATCTATCCATTTCCTACAGATCTATACACCCATCTCTACCTATCCATCCACTGCAGATCTGTCCACCCATGTCTGTTCTTCCATCCCCTACAGATCTCTCCATCTATCCATCCCCTACAGATCTCTCTACCCATCGACATCTATCCATCCCCTACAGCTCTCTCTGCCTATCTCCATCCATCCATCCATCCCCTACAGACATGTTCACCCATTTCCATTTTTCCATCCCCTACAGATCTCTCCACCCATCTCTATTTATTCATCCCCATACAGATCTATATACCCATCTCTATTTGTCCATCCCAGCCCCATATAGATCTATACATCTATCTCTATACAGCTCTATCCATCCCCTCCCCACACAGATCTATCTGTCTATGGCTCTCTATCAGTATCCATCCATCCCTGTACACACCTCTCTGGTGCTTAAGTCCCCAGTTTAGCAAACCACTCGATCAGATGCTGAACTGCTTTGCCAAGGAGGACCTGACCCTGGGGGTCTCGATTTCTCTGGCTCTCGGAGTTCTGCCCTTGCTCCACCACATGTTCTCGGACTCTGTGCTGGACTTGCTGGCCGGGTTCTCTGGCTTTTGTTCTGCAGCACGTCAGACTGATCCCTTCGAGCTTTAATCTTTATGTGTTCGGCTGGTGTAACTCAGCTGTGACCCCATTGAAGTCAGTTCACATCAGTCTAAACATCCAATCTGGGGGAGGAAGCGCCCCTGAGATTCTGCCCTGGTGGTGGCAGACCTGACGCTTGGAACAGAACAGCCTCATGAGTCACATCAGGAGCTGGACCCTCACCTACCCACCGTGGCAACACCCCCTACGAAACTACGCAGAGTCCACTCAGTCCCGCCTCTCTGGATGGGGTTAAGGGAGGAAGCCCTACAAGGTCCCATCCTGGAGGGCAGCGAGGAGCGAGACAGCGCCAACCCGTCAGCCGGTGGAAATGGACGGAGCTCCACCGAAGAAGCCACTGAAGTTGACCGAATGACGCCCATTCCCACCAGTGGGTGGGCCCACATAAGGGAGCACTGACCGGAGGCTGGGGCATAATTAAGACAGAGCATGAGGTGACCACCATTGATTTAATGTCTCCTGCTGCTTAGTCCCCATTCACCTCCCTTCCCTGGCAGATCTAACTGTGCAGCTGGTTTGCTTAACCCACGGGACAGTGTCCGGCAGTTCCCAGCATGCTAGGTTCTGCCTTGATCTAGCTCATTTGATTTATTTGGGGGTTGGTCCTGCGTTGAGCAGGGGGTTGGACTAGATACCTCCTGAGGTCCCGTCCAACCCTGAGATTCTATGATTCTATGATTGACCCCTGCAGCCTGTAATCGCCAAGGCAGGTGGGTGTCCCCCCAAAACTACAGAGCCCAGCATGCCGTGTGGGGCGCACCCTTCATCTCAAGGTGCAGCATTGCTCCAGGCTGCCGTGCTAAGTCTAAGGGCCGCTGCAACCTACTCTGTGTTGTGCTGGATTTTCAACTAGGTGTCTCTGCTCTGAGCCGTCGAACTAATGCGCGGTGCTGGTGGCTGCGGGGCGGAAGCCACAGGCAGAGCTTTGTGGAGCTGCTCAGAGGAAGGCAGCCAGCCCACCACGCCAGAGTCATTGGCGTAAAGCTGGACTCACCGCTGACTCTAGATCAGGACGCGTCTTTGACCCAGAGACCTTAGTCCATACCCTTAAAGAGCCACGCTCTGGTCTCTCTGACTGCGGGCTCACGGCCCTGTCCCATGAACCTCAGTGGATTTGCACCGGTTTCCATGAGGGGAGAATCCGGCTCCGACGGCTCTGCTCCAGGGTAAGCGACCAGCTCCTGCTCATTGACCCCCGTAAACCAGCCTTGAAACCATGGTCAAGTATCAGGGAAGTGGGGGGGGGGGGCGCTGCTGAATTAGCTCCACGGATTTTATGCCGCGCGTCTCACTGGCGATTTGGAAGGACAAACTCCAAAGGACTCTGCACCAGAGCACCGAAGGGCAGGTTCAGCTGCATTGCAGGCGTGGCTGGGGCATGGGGACGAAGATCCAGCCGGTTATTTAGCCCAGGGACATGTTATGTCGGCTCAGAATTACAAACCTTTCACAGCGCTCGGGAATCTACCGGACTCCAAGCCTGGGTCCAGCTCACCGTCACCCCGGCGCGGGTCCCTTCACCTCCATGGCTTTAAACTCGGCCTCCTCGCAGGCGGCCTAATGACCGGGAAACTGGCGCCACTTTCATGCTGCTGGCGTAAAACACAAAGCGGGGACGGGGTGGGAGCTCCATGATGAGCAGCTCCTGCCGCCACTGAAGTAAAGGGCAAATCTCCTGCTGCTTGACGCCAGCATGCGATGCGAGCGGAGCCGGGCAGCTAACCATCAGCCCTGGGTGGCCAGGACATGCAGCGCTGAGCAGGGCCACGCAGGCGTCTGGGGCTCACCTCGACCAGCAAGCCAGGGCTAAAGCGGCAGCTTGCCTAATCTGGACTGGGGTCTAACATGGGTGTTGCTAATGGGTTAACACGGGGCTGGCTTTTCTGGCCCACACAGCCGGCCTGGTGTTTGGGGTTAGAGCAAAGGGGGGTGGAGTCAGGACTTCTGGATCCTATTCCCAGCTAGTGGGGTCTAGTGGTTAGAGTGGAGCTGGGGTGCCAGGAGCCAGGACTCCTGGGGTCTCTCCCAGCTCTGGGAGGGGAGTGGGGTCTAGTGGTTAGAGTGGAGCTGGGGTGCCAGGAGCCAGGACTCCTGGGGTCTCTCCCCAGCTCTGGGAGGGGCAGGGGGGTTGCTGGAAGCCAGGACTCCTGGCAGCCTCACTGGCCAGCGTTAACCCTTCCCTTCCGGCCAACTTTTTAACTCTGCAGCTCAGTACGTGGGGGGCAGGGGCCCAGTTCCAGCACTGCCATGACAGCAGCTAGCCTGGACCCCCACCTGCAGATTCTGGCCTCGTTTGACGTGGTGGCAGCTCCTCCGGCGGAGCAGCCTGCTAGAGTTGTGCACTGAGGCCAGGGCTGACGGAACGGCAGCGTCACCACCCGCGTGTGAATCCCGGCGCTGCCTCAGGACCTGCTGTTCAACCTTCCTTTATTTGCAGACCCCCTACAAAATGTCAAATGGAGGTGGGACCCCGTGGAAATCTGGGTTTTACTAGGGTTGAAAACCACTGGCCAAGGTACGTATACAGGCCCCACAGCCGGAGTGTCTGAGCACCTCACAGTCGTTATGCTATTTATCCTCACAACCCCGCCCCCACATAAGGCAGGGCAGGGCTACTATCCCCACTGTACAGATGGGGACACTGAGGCACAGAGTGACTGGACCGAGGTCACACAGGGAGTCTGTGGCAGAGCAGGGCATTGACTCCAGGTCCCTTGCTAGTGACCCAACCACTGCGCCAGCCCCCCTCCCTCTTCCTCAACTGCCAGTGGCACAGCGGGGCTGGCACGGCGCCCGCTGCAGGCCAGGTGGCACACGGGGCTCTGGCGGAGCTGGTATCCACGTCTCACCCCGACGGGCGAGTGGGAGGCCGACGGCACCGGGGGGGGGGGTAGTTTGTGCCTAGCTAGGGCATGAGCCATGGGATAGGGATGGACGCCCCCTCCCCCGAACCTTTCCTCCAGGCCACTGACAGCTGAGGTCATGCAGGTCTAGTGCATAAGTGGGGGAGGGGACGAGAACCCAGGAGTCCTGAGATCCTGCTTGCACCACGAGACCCGCCCCCAGCGCTGGGAAGAGAACCCAGGCGTCCTGGCTCCGAGGTCATGGGCGGGGGGGTTGCTAGGCACATTACCGCCGCTGGGTGGCGCTGTCTGCCTAGGTTCGCTCCAGAGACCAGCAGGCAGCTGCGGCTCATCCCCTCCCCCCCCTCCCCCTCTGCCCCCCCCCGCCCAATGAACCCCCCCTCGCCGTTGGGTTGTGGTGGCAGGGCTGGGGGGGCCAGGGCTGGGCTAGCAGGGGCTGCGGGTCGGGAGTGAGGGGCACCGGCAGAGATGGGGGGCAGGGCTGGGCTAGC